TTGGCCTCGGCCCGGGCTGGGCCAAGCCCCTACACATTGATGATATGAACATTCACATTGACAGTGTGAACATTTACATTGACGATGTGTAGGGGTATTTTGGTAATTATGTCACCCATAGGATATGAACATTCATATTAGGAGTATTTTGGTAATTATGTCACCCATAGGATTTATTGAAACATAAGCAAATAATGTAGACTAAATGAAACATAAGTAGATAAAAAGGGTATTTTGATTTTCTTACCTCAAATAGGAACATTCACATTGACGGTGTGAACATTCACATTTGACGATGCGAACATTCACATTAGGGGTATTTTGGTAATTATGTCACCCATAGGACTTATTGAAATATAAGAAAATAATGTGGACTAAATGGAACATAAGTAGATGAAAAAGATATTTTGGTCTTCTTACCTCAAATAGGAACATTCACATTGACGGTGTAAACATTCACATTGACGATGTAAACATTCACATTAGGGGTATTTTGGTAATTATGTCACCTATAGGATGTGAACATTCATATTAGGGGTATTTTGGTAATTATGTCACCCATAGAACTTATTGAAATATAAGAAAATAATGTGGACTAAATGGAACATAAGTAGATGAAAATGGTATTTTAGTCTTCTTACCTCAAATAAGAACATTCACATTGGCGGTGTGAACGTTCACATTGACTGTGTGAACATTTGCATTGACAGTGTGAACATTCACATTAACGATATGAACATTCACATTAGGGGTATTTTGGTAATTATGTCACTCATAGGACTTATTGAAACATAAGAAAATAATGTGGACTAAATGGAACATAAGTAGATGAAAAGGGTATTTTGGTGTTCTTACCTCAAATAGGAACATTCACATTGACGGTGTGAACATTCACATCAGGGGTATTTTGGTAATTATGTCACCCATAGGACTTATTGAAAGATAAGAAAATAATGTGGACTAAATGGAACATAAGTAGATGAAAAGGGTATTTTGGTCTTCTTACCTCAAATAGGACCTAATGGAATAGTAAAAAGAATATGAGTTGGATGGAATAAAACTCTTAGAAAAAAGATTTATCAAAAAAGCTCCCATGTTATTAACTGTGCGTTCTAAGTTCTCTCTGCATGTCATAATTTAATTGGTAAAAATTAAATAATAAATTACAAAAAATTTATTTACCACACTACAACATATAAGAGTTTAGAGATCAAATTGTTTGATCGCTAAAAGTGAAAATTTTGTTACAAAAGGCATTTAGAGACCAATTTCTATCGCCGTGCGGATAGTCACTAAAAGGTCGTCTTGAAAAGTACAAAACACGGCTTTTAGCAACAAAATTTAAAAAATGTCACTAATAAATAGACTTTTAGGGACAAAATAATTTAGCCTCAAAATGGTTTATTTTTTGAGATAAAAAATTTGATAAAAAAAGGATAATAATTCATCACTGATGTCCAATTATTGTTACTAAAAATATAATGACATTTTTTGCAACAAAAATATTTGGTCCCTAAAAATTAATTTTATCCCTAAATTTTGGTCTCTAAAATTTTAATTTTTTGTAGTGCCATATGATAGTAGTAAATTATATTTTTTAATATACTATTTTTTTCTTATTTTGTAAAGCCCAAAAATTTATTTACTCAAAATTGTGAATTATTTTGTGTCATAACGACTACGTAAAAATATATTAGGATTGACTTGTGGCGTTGGACTAAACATTAGATATGACCTAAAAGTTAGTTAACTTAATATTTATGTCAATGTGACCTTTACATAGTCCTTAAAAATTGTTTTGATTATTTAAAATTATCTTTATCGGTTTGTGACTCCTATGAGTTAGTTTGGGGGTTTCAATATTAGATTAAATATTAAAAATGAGTCTAGAAAATCTAGTTCGAGTCGATTTTTTATTTTTTATTTTTTCAACGATTCCTGGTTTAAGCCTATAATACATCCTATTTTAATAATTCAATATGATAAAAAAATAAAAATAAAATCTTAATGTTTACGATACGTTTTACCAATCAATAAAAAAATATTTATAAATATTAAGAGAATTATATTTGAACAAATTCTAACATAATTTTTTTACTTTAGGATAAATTACAACTATACCCCCGAGGTTTGCTTAAAATATAGATTGTCTCCTGTGATTTGAAAAATTACAAATACCCCCTTATTAGAATTTTTTATTTAACAGAATTAATTAAAAAAATGTAATTCAGAATTGCTCTCTTATAACATCATTAAAACTGTTAATTGACTTGATGATATATTAATAAAATGAGCAATTTATTATGAAATTAGAAACCTCAGGAGATGGAATGTAATTTTCAAAACCACAGTAGGCGATTCGTATTTTAACAAATCTCTTGGGGTGTGTTTGTAATTTACCCATATTAACAAATATATATATATATATATATATATTCTTTTTATATAAGATGCCAAAAATCTTGCATCATTAGTTAAATCACCAGTTAATTCCTCTGCAAGATTCTCTCTCTTCTACAATCTTTTTGCCCACTTTCATATTTTCATGGAATGATGGAAGTTGGGTTTAGAGATTTATAATACCTTTGGATATGATATAAATCTAATGAAGGAATTTTGAATTAGAGTCAAACTAGTCTTTTATCTCTAAAATATTTTGAAAATCTTTTATTTATTTTGAATTTGAATTTTAAAATGGATTAATATACTTTCCATTTGAAAGTTATAAATTAAGAGATATAAACGGATTAATTACTATTTTTTAAATAATTCAATAAAAGCTAGCCAATAGAAGATTTTTTTAATTATTTAAAAAATAAGAATTCCAAAAAAATAGTATGAGAGTTTTGAATTTTACAAGAGTCTTCTCATTAAAAATCCTATTTTCCTTAATATATATATATATAGATAGATAGATAATATTACAGCGAATAAATGCTAATTATCAAACTAAAAAAATTAATATGTTTGTTATTAATATAACAGTGACTTAATGTTAATAATCTTTTGGGAAAATTATAAGAAAAAAAAAAAGAAAAAAACCTAAGGTTTGAGTTTTGTAATAAAATAAATCCTACGTTTTTAATTTTGTCAATTTAAAGTCTAAACTTTTGATTGGTTTTCAATCTACACCATTTGCCTATTTTCGTTGAGTAAGATTGATGAAAAAATAACTATTTTAATCATTAAACTTAATGAAAATGATATTTTAGACATTTTATGTATACATACATTGAGTTTAATGATTAAAATATTTTTTTGTCATTTTAGTTAATGAAAATATACAAATAGTTTAGATTGAAAACAAATTAAAAATTTAAGATTTAAATTGACAAAATTAAAAACTCAAAATTTATTTTATTATAAATCTCAAATCTTGGAATTTTTTTGGTGGTAATTATCCCTAATCTTTTTCTAGTTAATAATTGTTTTTGCATTCTTCCGATAATAATATTGCAAATTTAAAAATAAGTATGTTATGAAAAACATTGGAGGATTCAATTACTAAACATTAGAGTACGAGTTTGGTTAGGAATTCCAAATAATTTATTAAATTTTCAACCAAACCTCTCACATAGGTTTTGGACTCATAGACATGTGGGATTGTGTAGGTCTCATACCTATGAGAGAGATTTAGTAAAAAATTTAGTGGATTATTTGAGATCCCTAACATTTTACTTAGACTACTATTCAGATGAGCTCTTTATGTGACACTAAGTCCTTTTTAAGTGTGTGTGGTGAGTGTCTTTTTCTTTTATTTTTTTTCTTATTTATTTATTTATTATTATTTTTTGATCATATTTTTTTTATCAACATTATTTTTTAATCACATAGATAAGTTATTTGCTGCCTTAGGCCACAACTACATGATGCAAATGCAATTGGTGAAAACGGTGTGGCTCAGTAATTTATATTGGTAATTAGGGAAAAACAAAGGTGATGTCAATAGCGAATTGATTGGTGGTATGACCACGTGATACGTGTCAAATAATTTTGCACACAGAGAAAGCTACTTGCATGCCAAATCACCAAGAAATTGCATTTTTTGGATGTTTTATATTAAATTGTTTGAGTTTCCATTGGGCAACTTTTCTTATTTTTGTTTGGTAATTATTAGAAATCATAGATTTTTTTTTTTTTTTCCTTCTTCTTCTATGAAATCATAGGTTGAAATTTTCATACTTCATTCAATTCATATTCCAGGTAGAACGAGTCAACTTTTGTTGGATTTAGGCAAAAATATTGCAACAATCAGAACTCACAGTTACTCTGTGATTTGGGTCATATTTTAACTTAATTTTATCATTTAGACCTCCAACTATGCATTTTTTTAAATATATAAATTTTTTAATTCAAGAAAACTTTCTTTAGCAATTTTGTTTTCATATCATGCACTTTTCAAACCAAGTAATACAAGATGTAGGAAGCTTTATTAATCAAACTTGGCGTAGCTTGATTTTTAACACATGAACTTATTGAGCAAAGTGAACAGCTTTTAATAGTGAAATTAATTAATTAATGGAACTTTTAAATATCCATCAGAATCTGAAGACACTCGTAGATATATATGCACACAAATAGATAGATAGATACGTGGATGCATGCATGCATGCATGCAGATTTTCCAGAGCATAAAGCGGACCTGCTCACTCTCACTCATCTGCTGAAAAAAATCAGATGAATCAAATAGAATCCCTATGTTTGAGGAATTCTAGTATTTTCAACCTTCCCCTTTTTTCATCCTCATCCTTATCATAACTATTTTCTCATGTGAAATAAATTACAGCATGCACATGACTCTTCTTCAGCTACTTCTCTCTTTTCTGTTGTGGTTGTGATTCGAGTATTATATATTATATATTGAACTCTCTCTCTCAACAACTTAAACACCGCTCTGCTCTTTCTTCTTCTTCTTCTTCTTCTTCTTCTTCTTCTTATTTTTATTTTTCTTCTTTCTTTCAACAGAACAGAACAGAAATTTGGATTAAGAGAAACCAAAAATGTCGTTTTCAAAACTCTCACCCTTCCTTGCTCTATTCATTCTTTTCTTTCTTTTCTTCCAAACACCAGTTTTCGCAGCCAAACAGGTAATTTGGCTTCCTCTAAATTTTGAAACCCAGTATGGTTGAAAAATTTCACCTCGCAATTCAATATATATCCCATAATTATATTTTTTTATTGTTTCTTTTAATATCCAATTTATGGACAGTTTTTTTTTCTTCTTTTTCTTTTCATCTAATTGATGCTTATTAACATATCAAATGCAGTCATATATAGTGTACATGGGAGTGCATTCACATGGACTAGAAGATGCAAAGGCTACTGTTAGCAAGGTGAAAGATTCACATTGCCAGTTTCTTGCATCCTTCTTGGGAAGGTATGGAATTTATTATATTATATCTCTAATTCTATATTTGTATTTATTGAGTAACATGGTTTTAAATATTAGGGTGAGTATGGTCCGGATAGATTCGGTTTGGTATAATTTCATTAAAAGTAAAATCAAATCAATCCATTTAAATCATGAAGTCAATTCGTGCCAAACCTATCAAATTGGGCTGGACAAATTTGATTTGTGTATTTTTTAGATTCTTTACTCAATCTTATTAAATATTGTCCAATAAAGTATTGTGTTTATGTACTTCCGATATTTATAAATCTAAGCATATTGATTGAAATAAAAATCAAATGTCTATGGACAAGGGAGGCCTAACCCTTTTGGGCATGATAAATCAAATGCGTAAAACTTCCAAGCGAGGCATGATGCTAGTTAAATAATTAAGATTTTACACTTTCATATATATATATATTGCAGGAATTGCTACATATGTATCTTATTATAAAAATATATAATTTTATTATAATATTTCGTAATGTGTGTAATCTCGTTACAAATTAGTATAATAAAAAATATCCTTTATCAAGTAACAAATTTTTACAATATCAATTACAAAATTTTAGATATTTTTGTTATACTAATTTATAATAAAATTACGTATTTTATAATTTTTATTAAAAAATTTTATAATAAAATTACACATTTGTTGTAAGATGCATACCATTAGATTTCTCATTTTTTATCCATGTTACCACACTTTTACACATATACCAAAGTTATCTATTACCCTTAGTCTCCCTTTTAACATGATTTAGATTTTTAACAATTTTATGAAAACATCTTTAAGAATTAAACATATTTTAAAACACTATTTATATTTCAATACTATTTATATACATTTTTCAGGGCCAAAACCAATTTAAGGACTGTTTTAGCGTCTTATTTTACCAACTAGTGCTATGCACCGAATAATTTTAAATTTGGTTAACTAATTTTCTTAGAATAACAAAACTATAAAAATCTATGGTACACACTTTTATAAGTAAGTTATGACATTTGTGATACATATGTCATAACTCAATTCTATGAGTGACATGACCAAACAAAATGAGTTTAACCACACATTAAATGATGTATAACTAAAGAACTCTTGATTTATAACTAATATCACGTGTCGTAATTAATATTATGATAGATTATAACCAAATTCTATAAAGGTGTGCTTGATTGGGGATAAGGAGGGAGAGATTATTCATTGTTGGGATTGTAATCTTACATGGAGTCCGGCTGGACTCCTTATCCCTCATATGAGAATGTACTATCCTAGGGGAATATGGGACAATTTTTATTGGATTATTTACTGTTGGGATTAGAATGTGAAATGACTATTTTGACCATCTATTATTTAATTATGTATTATATTTAGTAAAATTCAATAAAATTTAAATGTCTCAATGTAAAAATAAAATAATTTTGTTTAACTTTTTATTGATGTTTTATTTATTTAATTTTTTAAAATAATTTTGTATAGATATTTTATTGATGTTTTATTTTAAAATTTTGTTTATATTTTATTTAATTTCATTATTTAAATTTTAATAGATGTTTTATCTAATTTCATTGTTTAATTATTATTATTTTTTAAAATAAATGTATTTAAAATTTTAATTTAAAAAATAACATATATTTCTATTGATATTTTATTTATTTAATTTTTAAAAAATAAATTTATTTAATTGTGTGAAAAATAAAATAAAATAAAATTTTATTTAATCTAGCTAAAAATAATTAAAATATTAAAGATATGTTTAATATTGCTATTACTTAGTAAACAATTGAAAAACGATAAAATAGTCTTTTGCTCATTTATCATATCCAGTCCGTTCAACCAAAAATTGAATTCACTAAAAAAACACGGGATATACATCCAATCCAACCAAATAGTCCGTGGGATTCACAGTCTCAAGATTCAAGTCTGATGGATTCTGATCCCTCCTTATCCAGTCTGTAAACAATGTTCAGATTGTAATCCGATAGAAGTTTTTTATTCGGCGTTTGTTTTTTTTTAGTCCATATCCCTTATATAAGGGACTATTGTATCCTGGGAAGGTGTGAGCTTAGGTGGTGAAATGACTATTTTGACCGTCTACTATTTAATTATGTATTATATTAAAATTCAATAAAATTTAAATGTCTCAATTTAAAAATAAAATAATTTTATTTAACTTTTTATTGATGTTTTATTTATTTAATTTTTTAAAATAACTTTTTATAGATATTTTATTTTAAAATTTTGTTTATATTTTATTTAATTTCATTATTTAAATTTTAATAGATGTTTTATTTAATTTCATTATTTAATTATTATTAATTTTTAAATAAATTTATTTAAAATTTTAATTAAAAAAATAACATATATTTTTATTGATATTTTATTTATTTAATTTAAAAAAAATAAATTTATTTAATTGTGTAAAAAATAAAATAAAATAAAATAAATTTTTATTTAGTCTAGCTAAAAATAATTAAAATATTAAATATATGTTTAATATTGCTATTACTTAGTAAACAATTGAAAATGGGTAAAATAGTCTTTCTCATTTATTCTATCTAGTTCGTTTAACTAAACATTGGATTCATTAAAAATAGTCATTTTCAGACATCTAATCCCATGAGAAAAAAAACACAGAATACACATCCAATCCAACCAAATAGTCTGGGGACTATTCAAGTCTGATAAATTCTAACATTTCCTTATCCAGTCCGTTCAATCAAACACAAGGGTCATAACCAATGGTTAATATGGGATGTGTACCATAGTATTAGTGAGAGTGTATAATGTTTAATTGTTTTCTAATGAATAAAAAAAACAACATTCAGAAAAATTATTTTAAAAATGTATTTATAGATGATAATCATTTTAAATATGACTCACATTTTACTAACTTTAAATCTAAACCATCACTACAACAAAAAGCACAATCGGCGACTAAAAGATCATTTTTCGTCGTGGAAAGTACGGTTTTTGGCGACTAAAATGGAATTAGTCGCCAAAGTTGATCAGTTTTGCCGACTAAAAGAGTTTAGTCGCCGAATATAGGGTTTTTAGCGACTACAGGTTGTTTAGTAGCCAAAAGTGACGGTTTTTGGGGACTAAAATAATTTAGTCACCAAAAGTGATGGTTTTGGCGACTAAAAAACAACTTAGTCACCAAAACCAGGTGTTTTGCCGACTAAAATCTGTTTGGCCGCTGAAAGGTCAAGAATTGCTGACTAAATTGCACTTTAGTCGCCCAAAGTAGAGGTTTTGGCGACTAAAGTTCAGTTTAGTCGCCAAAAGTGCGATCCTAATTTTTTTAGTAAATAATTAATTTTTTACATAAAATATATTAAATAAAAATAATTATTTTTATATATATAACTTTGTATTAATTCCGGTCAATATAGTATATAAATAATATATTTTGCATTAACATTCACAGAATGTATTAGTGGCGTAGTGGGGAGAGAGTGTTGGTAAAGGTTGAGGGTTGGGAGGTTGGTGGTTCGAAACTTGAGAAAAGTAGAGGCAAACTTTTTTTTTTCTGAAAAATACTTTTGGCGACTAAAGTCTGTGGTCGCCGAAAGACAGGGAATTGGCGACGAAAAGTTTAGTCGGCAAATGTATAAATAATAAAAAAAAATTCAGTATTGGCGACTAAAAGTTTAGTCGCCAAATGTATAATTTCCCAAAATGAAATTGACTATTGGCGACTAATTCTTTGGTCGCTGAAGACATATGTATTGCCGACTAACAAATCTTTAGTCGCCAAAGGTATTCGCGACCATGTATTGGCGACCACAGCGGCGACTAAAATATTTAGTCGGGGAAAGTGAAAACTCTACATTTGGCGACTAAAAAAGGACTTTTGGCGACTAAAAATTTAATCGCCAAAAGTGTTTTTTCTTGTAGTGCATCCACCTTATCTTATTTTTGGATAAAATTTGGAACACAATTGCATCAAGTTTTTATTTTAATGATGATTTTTTTTATTAGTTTGGGAACATACAAGTCACATTTTTTTTTTCCAGATGTTAAATAAAAAAAAAATAAAAAGTAAAAAACCTTACAAATTTTTTCTGATTTTTTAATTTATTTTTAGTGGCCTCTTTTAAAAATTATGTAATATATATATATATATATTTGGTCAATCTTGTGTAGATGAATTTAAAAAAAAAAAAATGAAAAAGCCAAAATAATTAATTGTATTTTCTGAATTTTTTTTAATTTTTTTTTTCAGTTCATCTCATCAAGTAAAATCTAAAATTTTAAAACTTTTTAAAAAAATATTAAAAAAAATTCACTAAAAACAAAAATATAAATAATTTTTTTTTAACAAAAAAAAAAAAAACCTAAACATCCCCTTATGTTGGTGCAGTAGTGAGAAAGCCAAAGAGGCAATATTTTACTCTTACTCTCGAGATATCAATGGTTTTGCTGTAACTCTTGAGGACAAGGAAGCAGCAGCAATTGCAAGTACGTACAAAACATTATAAATTTGTAGATTTCCTCCTCCATTTGCTTCTCTTCTCTTCCCTTGTCTTTTTATGATTTTGATAGTGACGGTCTCTTTCTTTGATGGGGGGCAGGGCATCCAAATGTAGTATCGGTTTTCTTAAACAAAGCTAAACATTTGCACACAACCCATTCCTGGGATTTCATGTTACTCGAAAAAAATGGTGTTGTTCACAACCAATCAATATGGAAGAGGGCTGCATTTGGCCAAGATGTCATCATTGCCAATCTTGATACTGGTTGGTTACTCTTTTTTTCTTACCATCTTTTCTTTTTCTTTCCCAACATTTTATTTTTTAATTATTAATTTGAAAGTTATAAAAACACACTACTTAGTTTTTCGCATGTCACTTTGGTAGGTGTCTGGCCTGAATCAGAGAGCTTTAGAGACGATGGTTTTGGGCCGGTTCCATCCAAGTGGAAAGGCTTCTGTCAGAATGACACCCGCACTGGTGTCCCTTGTAATAGGTATGCTTTTTTTCCCTTTTTCAATTGCTTTAATTACAAATTTCCTTGAAATATTCTACTGATCGGTTTTGTGATATCAAATTCAACAAATTTAATTAAAAGGTTAAACTTTTGAAACATATGTCCAAATTTATTTGGACAGAATGGATTAAATTTGATTAGTGTTCTTAGGATTGCTACTTACGTGATTATCAATCATTTTGAATATCCTACTCCATAGGATTATAGGGATTGTTTTGACAAAATCCTATCAATTTTTTAATTTAGCTCCCATCTTGAGATTCAATAGTCTGATAGTTTGTACCTTTTAAATAAACCGGAATCATTTAATTTAGTAGTTAGTTTAGAATTAGTGACATGATCAATTTCACAAATGATGCCATCTTTCTTTTCACCTCATATTTTGAATTTTATATATGCAAATTTAAAGAGTTTTAGAAGATTATAGATTTTGGCGTAAACTTTTTATTTATCATTCCTCGCAACAAGAACCTAACATACTTTTAAATGGCATTAAGCATAACTTGTACATTTTTTATGGTTTTTATTTTAGTTAATTTATGACCAAATTTGCAGGAAAATTATTGGAGCTAGGTATTTCAACAAAGCTTATGTTTCAAGTGGAGGCCAAATAAACTCTTCAACAGACTCAGCACGAGACAATGATGGCCATGGATCTCACACGCTGTCAACAGCTGGTGGTAACTTTGTTGCTGGGGCAAATGTATTTGGCGTTTTCAATGGAACTGCAAAAGGTGGATCGCCGAATGCTCGTGTGGCTTCATACAGAGTATGCTTTCCACCAGTTAGTGACGATGGAGAGTGCTACGATGGTGATATCTTGGAAGCCTTTGATGCCGCCATACAAGATGGTGTTGATGTAATTTCGGTGTCACTTGGTGGAGATCCTGTAGACTACTTCAACGATACCACTGCAATTGGTGCATTCCATGCTGTTAAGAATGGCATTGTTGTCGTATGCTCAGCAGGGAACGATGGACCTAAGGATGGCAGTGTCACAAATGTTGCCCCATGGATCATAACTGTTGGAGCAAGTACCATGGATCGCGAGTTTGAAAATTATGTTGAACTGCACAATCAACAAAGATTCAAGGTTCAAATTTTCTTCTTCCTTTTTATCAGCACTAGTAATTTCCTCTTCTCTTTTTTAGTAAGGGTGGGAATTTCTGATCAAACTAGTTAACATGACACGAACCTTATATGAAACGAAAGGGGTCTAAAATGACTTGACACTTTTAACATTAAAAACTAAATGATTTAGGGTTAAAAGAATTCTAACATGAACACGATCAACCAATATGGATTCTACCTCTACTTTTTTGTACACATTTGGTTTAATGTTTATTCTCTCTCATATTACATATAGGGAACGAGCATTTCTAAGTCTTTGCTGGATGGTAAACTCTATCCTCTAATTACCGGTGCACAGGCTGTGGCCACCAATGGCTTTGCTGGAGACGCGTAAGAATAATCTTTCTTAAAACACTCTTTTTAAATTTGATTTTTTTTATGAGGCTTATTTTTAAGATTTGTATATGGTGAGAATTTAATGAATGTAAAGAAGAAATATATCTTGGCTATGTTAATATATGTTGTTGTTGCACAGTATGCTGTGTAAGGGAGGAACACTGGACCCTCGGAAGGTGAAAGGTAAGATAGTGGCATGTCTAAGGGGGGAGATAGCAAGAGTGGAAAAGGGCATGGAGGCTGCTCAGGCTGGTGCTGTCGGTATGATTCTTTGCAACGATGAGCTCAGTGGTAACGAAATCATCGCTGATCCCCATGTCCTTCCCGCTTCACATATCAATTACACGGACGGTCTTGCTGTTCTTGCATACATCAATTCTACCAAGTATTTCTCTCTCTCTCTCTCTCTCTCTCAATTGAACCTAGATATGGTAAACTCCGTTTTCTGAGTCTTGCTATCTGGTCAAAAATAGAAAACAGAATGACACAGATAGGGTCCACAATTTTATGAGTGTATGCGTCTCATTTAGTGATTTTTTATGTCTACTTTCTTAGCATTATTATTTTCTTATTGATACCATGTTTTAAAAAGCGATCCATTGGTCTCATTCAGTGATTTATTTATTTATTTATTATTTCTGCATTCTTAGCATTATTATTGTGTTATTGATACCATGTTTCAAACAGTGATCCATTGGGATTTATTACGAATCCAATGGCAAAACTCAACACAAAACCTGCTCCTTTCATGGCTTCTTTCTCCTCCAAAGGCCCAAACACAGTGACACCCGAAATCTTGAAGGTTCGACTTTTCAACGAGATTGTGATTTTTCGTTTTATTTGCTTGACTACCTCAACTGTGATTTTTGTGAAAATGTATCTTAATTGACTACTTGCTTTTCTGTTCATTTTATTGGTAGCCTGACATAACTGCACCAGGAGTAAGTGTTATAGCTGCCTATACCGAGGCGCAGAGCCCAACAGGGATTATGCTTGATACGCGTCGGACTGCCTATAACACAGAATCTGGCACATCTATGTCTTGTCCCCACGTTTCAGGAGTCGCTGGCCTTCTCAAAAAGCTTCATCCTGATTGGAGTCCTGCTGCGATTAAATCCGCCATCATGACCTCCGGTAATACGATGTATTTATTTTTATGAATTGTTAATTTCTTTTAAAGATTCGTTATTTTAAAAATAATGATTCAAGATTTGATTCGCAATTTGATAACAATATTTTTTTTCCACTATGTATGTGCTTAAATTTAACAATTTGTTAATTTGGTGTCCCCTGTATCTGTTTTACAGCAAGAACCAGAGATAACACAGTGAATCCAATGGTGGACGGTGCCTCTGTTGAGGCAACACCATTGAGTTATGGTGCTGGACATATTCGACCTAACCGTGCCATGGACCCTGGATTGGTGTATGACTTGACCGTCAATGATTACTTGAACTTCCTGTGCGCTCTCGGTTATAACCAAAGCACCATTCAACTTGTTTCTAAAGAACATTACAATTGTCCCGCGAATGCCAGTCTCCTCAACTTCAACTACCCTTCAATTACTGTCCCTAAACTCTCTGGCTCAGTCACTGTGAAGCGAACAGTGAAGAATGTTGGTTCACCAACAGCTGTCTATGCTGCCAGACTTCGCCAACCTGTAGGATTTTCAGTTTCGGTGGAGCCCAAAATTTTGAAATTTGACAAGATTGGCGAAGAGAAGAGCTTTGAGTTGACTCTAACAAATAGGAATGGTGGTGGCGGTGGTGGTGGTGAGGCGGCAGCGGAAGACTATGTATTTGGTGAATTATTGTGGTCCGATGGCCACCACTACGTGAGGAGTCCGATTGTTGTTGCTGCCAACATAAAATCAGCACAACAAGTGGTTGTAAACAATATCAGGAGTAGGATTTAGGATTTCTTCGTTTTTATTCTTACAAGAGGTTGTAGACAGTATTTCTTTATTTTTATTCTTTAACTACTTGTCTAGATTGGTCAAATTAGAGTATTTATTTTAAATAATTAAAATTGCTTGTGGATTTGTAGGAGGTTTTTTGGACTAGGTCTCTACCAATTTTCACATAAGGATGCGTTTGAATGTTTAGTTGAATGGTCAAAATCAAAATTCAGTGATGAAATGGCATTATAATGAGGGAAAGCCTTGATTGACTTTAAGCAAAGCCTTGCAAAAGCATGTATAAATATATATACTACACCCCCATGTATATATATATGTATATTTTTTTTTTAACGGAAAAAAGGTTCCGTGAGGCATCACAGCTTCGTCTCGAGACTATGAAGTATGGACACTGCCCCAAGCCTTGCGTATCAATGTCGGGCATGGACACGATCAAAATTCAGTGATGAAATGGCATTATAATGAGGGAAAGCCTTGATTGACTTTAAGCAAAGCCTTGCAAAAGCATGTATAAATATATATACTACACCCTCATGTATATATATATATATTTTTTTTTTAACGGAAAAAAGGCTCCGTGAGGCATTACAGCTTCGTCTCGGAGCTATGAAGTATGGACACTGTCCCAAGTTCTGCGTATCAATGTTGGGCATGGACACGTGTCGAACACGTTGTGACATGTGTCTGACACTTTTTTTAAGGTGTCTCTTCCCTTTTTTATTTTTTTGAATTTTTTTTAGTTGGACACGTTTTGGACACGTCGGACACGTTTCGGATGCCATACGGTACAAAATGTAATTTATGAAACTTTTAAATGAGGCCAAACTATAAAAAACAAAAATAGAAAAAATGAGAATCGAATCGAAGAAAGAGAAGAGAAGAGAATAACAGAGAAAAGAGAAAGAGAAAGAGAAGAACTTGTACCTGTTGAAGCTCAAGATGGTGAGAACCAATTGTAGCCTAAATTAAGGTGTGTCGTTCATTCATTTTCTTTGCTTCGTTTTTCTTTTTATTTCTTCAGTTCGCAGGTCGTCTCTTTATCTGTGCATTTTTCAGTTCTCTCACTCTTGCACTTCATCTCTCTCTCTCTCTCTCACTTTTTTTCACAATTTGTCCATCTACCTCTCTTTGTGTGTTTTGTGCCACCAAGGATCCTTTATATTTGAGCCCCTCTTTTCTTTTCTTTTTTTTCCCTCTTTTCAGTTTTTCTATTTTTTTTTTTTTGATATTCTTGTTTGCTTAACCTTGAACATAGATAGAATTAATTATTTTTATTTGTTAGAAAAAATCAATTTGTTGAATGTGTTTATTAATTTTATTGTTAGTGTAATTTCATAGGAACCCATTTTTTATTCGTAAATATGGCATTTGATGTTAAAGTAGTGAAATGTATCTTTCTTTTAATTTTTTTAAAGTGTTATTTTTCATTTTTAATTATCTTCCAATGAACTTTTTTTCTTTTCAATTTTAGACATATAATAAATAAATAAAATTATATATATTGAACATGTCCCCTATTTATAAAAATTTATGTGTTTGTGTGTTCGTATCGTGTTTCATGTCTGTGTTCGTACCTCATAGCCTTAGGGTAACCGGTTGACTGCTAGATTTAACCCAACCAAAGGAAGGGGCCCACTATAGGGGTATCCACACCTACTCTACAACAAGGGTCATAAGACTTTACGACAGGAGTACAATGCTATCCATAGATTGTGCCGCCGAGCGTTTCCACTGAAACACCACTCCCAGTGGTCTACCCCTCGTACTTGGAGGAGATGTTTGTGCATATTATGAGTTGTAAAATATGAATATTTTTAAAGAGAGTCGTATCCATAACACCTCTTGAAATTTGTTTAAAATATATATTATCTCATATAGTTTTGAAAATTATAAATATCCTTTTATAAGAATTTTTTATTTAATAGAATTAATTAGAAAAAAATTGAAATTCTTAAATACTCTTTTATACAACAATAAAATTTTCTGAAATGTTAATTGAAATATATTTATGACATCATTAAAAACTATTAATTACTTAATAATTTATTAATAAAATGAGTCATTTGTTATGTGATTAGAAATTTAAAAGGCGAAATATAATTTTTAAAACTATAAGAATAATGTTAATCCGTATTTTTATCAAATCTCATGAGCTCTATTTATAATTTACTCTATCATTTTTTTAATCCAACTAGTGGAGGTAATATATTATCATTTTTAATACAACTCTTAAAGCATGTGATATATTAAGTTGTTAATCCCTTGGCATTTCTATAAATCCACAGCGAGAACAAGAGACAACACTGGGCACATGCAATGATAGATGAATCAACCTTCCTTAAGGCTACACCATTTCTCAATTACCCTTCAATAACTGTCCCTAACCTCTGTGGCTCAGTCACTGTGACTCGAAAATTGAAGAATGTGGGATCTCCAGCTGCCTATAGAGCCCAGATTGTTGAGCCACAAGGAATTTCAGTATCTATCGAGCCAAATATTTTGAAATTTGACAAGATTGGTGAAGAGAAGAGATATAAGTTGACCCTCAAGGCTAAGAAAGTTGGTTTTCCAAGAGACTATGTATTTGGAAAATTAACATGGTTAGATGGTCACCATAAAGTGAGGAGTCCTGTTGTTGTTGGTTTTACTACTGCTTTGTACAAATAACGTCTCTTTTAACCTTGAATTGCATCCAAACCAATAATGGAAGTAGCATTTTTCTTTTGATGATAGAAGCACAAACACATTCATTAATTGTGCACGAATTCTCTATCCCAAAAAAGTGTCAATCCTCATGTGCTTATGACAACTTGTTTTGATTCATGTTGTTATGAGTGATTGTCGTATCAAATAATGTCATTATTACACCATGTATGGATTCACAAGCTTATATTGATGTAATTTGTATATATATTTTTTGTATATATAATTTCAAGTCCATCTTATATCAAACTACACAAATATTTGTTTATGACAATTTTAAAATTAAAATTGATAAAATCCTATTTAAAATTGATTGTATATCACTACTAAAAAAGTGACTTTTTGCTTCTAATTTTTTGCGACCGACTATTTAACGGTCGCAAAAAATCAATATTTGCAACAACAAAAAAATAAATGAATTGAAATATATTCAAAACAACATGATTTTCCTTCCTCAATTTATTATTCCTATTTCTTTTATTTATTTTATATGCCAATGCCCTAGCCCCTTTCACTCTCACGACAACTCTCTCTCTCTCTTGTTGTCTTGCTCACCATAGTCGCAGCTTCAGTGGTTTGAATCTCTGTCTCTAAGTCTCTCACTTTCTTCATCATGCTCTGTTTCTTTGATCTTCAATTTCATTTTTCGACTCGAAATTCGATTTTCCACGTTGAATTTTCTCGAGAAAGTTGTAGCCTCTGCGAGATTTGATCGACGATGAAGCAGAAAATTGTTGAGTGAAATTAGGTTAATTGTTTGATCGAGCAAAGAGAAAAAAAAAATAGAGATGAGAAGCGTGAACAACAACGCTCTACATACGATAAGCGTTGCTGTGATTTCGATTGCTTCAGTTGGGACTCAAGCTTCGGTTCAGGTAAACAATTTGATTCGAATTTTAACTATAATTTACGTTGCCTGTTGTGGTTGATGATTTGATTATCTCAATTAGATACATGAATTTCTCGAGTTTCGATTTCCAATTCTAAGCTCTGTACAATCTGAACATTTAGGTTCAAGATCTGTTGATTATCTATGTTACGTTGATCATTTCACTTTGTTTGATGTAGTTTTTGGAAATTATATTTGTTTAATGCTTTTTTTTTTTTTTTTTTTTTTTTTTTTTTGGTTGCAAGTCATCCTGATCATCTTGAAATTGAGAAGGCAAAGAAGATGCTGAGGGTAAAAACCTGAGATATATCCCACAAAATATATATATGTATATATCACTTTGTTAATGTTTTTTTTTTTTTAAGTGCTTGAATGAACAAGCACTGATTATCCCTTTTGAGAATATGTGAGGTCTTTCATTCATTTCATTTGCTGTCTATTTTGCACTTCTTATTGCATTTCCTTAATAATCATCAAACAATATATGTCTCTGCTAATAAGCTTTAACAGAAGTAGTCACAAAATAAATGTTCATGTATTTCTTGTCGTGTTATATCCTATTTGTGTTCAGTAATTCATGAACCACTTCTTCCCAATGGGTGGCTGTTCAACACAACAAATGCGTAACATCACTTGAATAGTTTATCTTGCTCTTTACAGTGTTGGTACATGGCATTTTATTAACTACTAGGTTAGTGCATTTGCTACAGCCTCAAAATAAAATGTTGTGCATATTGCTTATAAGTGGATTGTGTTTGTCCTATTTTTCGCTTTCCTCTTGCATTTTTTTTTATATTTTTTATTTTTAGGAAATTGTTGTTTGCTTGATTTAGGATAATGCCATCTGTTTTTATAGTGTCATTTTTAACAAGAATAGCTTTGGTTTGTGTAGATTCGTATGTTGGATTTAGTACTTAAGGCGTCAGCTGAAGATTCTAAGGAGCCTCAAACCGCTCGCATCCTTCTGTACAAGTTATTCTATGATCAACCTGATCAAGGAATGACTCAGTTCCTTTTGAACCAAATCAAATCATTTGATACTCATAAACAAGCCAAAAGGTTTTGTTCTTGCACTTTAGCACCTTAAAATGTTTATTCTCAATATGTGATTATGAATTTTGTGTCAAGTAAGTTACTTGCACCTATGGAACTTCGTATAATAGAACTTGTGGCTTTGCTTTGGAGGTAATTTATATTGCTGTTATCTCTTTTGAAGTTGATAATGTTAATGTTGGCCTAAATTAAAAGTTCATGTATTCTCTGTTTTTATCTTTGTTGATCCTTGAACATGTGTGTTGGATGTAGCTTAGTTTGCTTGACATATTGCTTCCCTCCAAATTGTTCATTGGTCTTTTCTCATTGGTGCTAAATTAAAATCTTACAAATATTGTTATGATGAGTTTTTGTTTGTTTTGCTTTTGTTTTTGTTTTTTTTTTTTTAATCATTTCTTGGATTAATG